ATCGGCTATGTATTCATTCCAAACCACCACCGGATCGGCTATGTATTCATTCCAAACCACCACCGGATCGGCTATGTATTCATTCCAAACCAGCACCGGATTAGCTATGTATTCATTCCAAAACAACACTGGATTAGCTATGTATTCATTCCAAAACAACACTGGATCGGCTATGTATTCATTCCAAACCACCACCGGATCGGCTATGTATTCATTCCAAACCACCACCGGATCGGCTATGTATTCATTCCAAAACAACACTGGATCAGCTATGTATTACAACTAAATAACACCAGGTAACTGTTTCCTAGTGATGAATAAATTATAATTAACCAGCTAAACCATTTGGAAAGCTATAAAGGTAACATTTGTTGGCCAACTGTAGGTGTAGTCCAACTCGGGTGTCAGTAGTGATTGTTGAAATGAACTGATATTTTGTGAAGTTTGAGATTTTATGTGAGCCACCAGCTTGACCAGAGCCATCTCTAGATAGTTAAAAGATATTGAGCTAGGGCCAATAGGCGCCGGAATAATATCGATCATGTTTTTCTATTCTTATTTTCAAAACATCAACTGGAGATTCGAGGCACTGTCAAGTAGAGTAGGGGCACAGGCCCCATGTGCCAGTGTCTAGTGAAGCTTTTGACATTAAATTGGAAAAGTTGATTTACAACACTCAACTTAATGTAATAATTAATAGTTGTAACCATGACAACAACTAGTTAAAGTCTAGTCATGAAAGAACAATAAGTATATACAGAATGGTACAAAAATCATGCCCCATCGGGATTTTGAATAACAATAAAAAAGAATTATGTTTTTGTTTATGAAAGTAAATGTTCAAATTGCTGGCCATTACTTTTGAAGCACTTATTGGTACAATTAATATAAGATGTCTGAACCTGTTTTAACACAATGGTGCTGATTTTTTCTTTCCAGGAAAGGGACAGCTGAAACACAAGATGAGAGGATGACCCTTGTTTTAACATATGGAAGGCAATGTGCTTCATTTTTTATCAGATGTGGCAGAATTTAATGAACAACATTCAGAGAGGCATCCAACTGATCAGAGAACCTTGGAAAGGAAATTAATCAGTTCAAAGTAACAGGAAGCGTCCATGAACTTCCACGTATAAGCGGGCCAAAAACTTCAAACACTGAAACAACAGCTAAGGTGGTATCGGATCATCTTCTAAACAGCCCAAAGAAGTTGGTAAGAAAGCTGTCACAGGAGACAAGAGTTGCCAGGAGGTCAATCCAGCAAATTCTAAAAAAATAATAATTTCCATCCCTACCAAGTGCAATTTGCTCAGGAACTGCACAGTGATGATACAAACAGTCAAAATGAGTTCTGTTAATGATTCCTACAGCAAATCAATCCCATAATGCACATTACTGGGGCAGAGGTGGATGTCCAGAGTGATTCAATACTCCATACTTCTTTGATGACAGTGTGACAGGTCAAACATATCGGCAAATGCTACAGGCATTCTTATAGTCCATTTTCGATAACATTTCATTAACGCAAGACCTGTGGTTCCAACTGGATTGTACGCAAGCACATTTTTCAAACATTCTTCATAATTTTTAAATTAGACATAAATGGATTGGACAGCAAGGTTTCACCAAATGGCCATTTTGGTCATCAGATCTTACACCCCCTTGACTGCTTCCTGTGGAGGCATCTTAAGTCAGTCATCTACACTGAACAACCCAGAAGCATTGAGGAACTGAAGGAGAAAATAAGATCCCACTCTTCTAAAATCAGCATCAATGTGTTAAGAAAGGTTCAGACATCATGTATTCATCAAATCAATAAGCACTTCAAAATTAATGGCCAGCAATTCAAATATTTACCTTGATAAATAAAAAGTAATTAAATACAATAAAATGATTAGGAAGTGATTCATGACTAAATCCAACCCCCCAATAATACATTTTGAGTTTAAAGGTTATCTAAGTATTCCAAATCCAGAAAGAATTGACAATGAGAAAGACACATCTGGACATACATGCCAAGAATCTTGTCAAAACACAAACTGAGGAAAATGTTAAGCATTTGTAAAACTGAAAGAGTTATAGGAACACTCAAGTAAATATTTTATTTATTAATGATAACTGGAAGAACAAAAACATGTAAACTACGGCAAGAACAACAAAAATTTGTAAAATACAGCAGGAAGAACAACAAGAAAACTTCAGCAGGATGAACAACATGTAAACTTCAGCAGGATGAACAACTTGTAAACTTCACCAGGATGAACAACTTGTAAACTTCACCAGGATGAACAAAAACATGTAAACTAAAACAGAATGAACAAAAACTACACAATTTGTCTTATAAAAAGACAGGTGATAAAAAGGCAAAAATAATTGCTCAACAGAATTTTTATTAACAAATAACTTTCTGTACATCCTGGGGTGAGTTAATGATTTGAATAGATAAATCCAGTAAGTAAAAAATGTCACATTAGGATCCCTTATTCAATTATATTATGATCAGCATCAATTAGATGTAAGGTTTCAAGAATAAAACAACACATATATATCACATGCCATTTCTTAACACTAATGAAATAAAAGGAATACACATACTGCAAGTTTTTTTATCTCAGCTTTTTCAGCTTCAGTAGGACACTGGACAACTTTCGATGAGTACTTCTGAAGAAGGCCTAAGTAACATCTATGTTCTTGCTTTGAAAGGCTAGAAAACTGTGGTGTCTTATAAGGCTTACATTGTTGTAACTTGTCCTTATTCTTCGAACTTGACTTTTGAACATTTTGTCTGAAAAATTAAGTATAGAATGTTGTGCTTTGATCAGTAAATTCATAAAAGAATTATTAATGTTTGGAAAACATACTGATGATTAGAATATTAAAAATATCTTATGTATTCCTTTTAACTTTTTTTCATTGATTACAACATTCCAGACTTTCGTATGATCATCTATATATTTATAATGTCATCTAGTAATAAAAGCTACAGTAATTTTTAAATTTTGGGTCGACACAAAAGCTACCTGGTAGTGTTTTTATCGTTCACCTACCCTAAACCACTTGTATTTGACAAACACTCTTCACTGTCAGATTCCGAACTCCAAGATTTGATGTCTGATTCCTTGTGGTCAACATCTCCACATTGTCTAGATTGCCACTTTCTTTTCAAGCTCTGTATCATATCATGATGAACTACAGAATGAAAGTCGAAGGATTCCTTGCTGAAGAACACTTCTCTTCCATTGACAATAGGAGTATTCCTAAAAATAACGTACTTATTACACACAAAACACATGTTGACCAGTACATATACTTATTATACACAAAACACATGTTGACCAGTACATATACTTATTACACACAAAAACACACATACTTATTACACACAAAACACATGTTGACCAGTACATATACTTACTACACACAAAACACATGTTGACCAGTACATATACTTATTACACACAAAACACATGTTGACCAGTACATATACTTATTACACACAAAACACATGTTGACCAGTACATATACTTATTACACACAAAACACATGTTGACCAGTACATATACTTATTACACACAAAACACATGTTGACCAGTACATATACTTATTACACACAAAACACATGTTGACCAGTACATATACTTATTACACACAAAACACATGTTGACCAGTACATATACTTATTACACACAAAACTCATGTTGATCAGTACATATACTTATTACACACAAAACACATGTTGACCAGTACATATACTTATTACACACAAAACACATGTTGACCAGTACATATACTTATTACACATAAAACACACGTTGACCAGTACATATACTTATTACACACAAAACACATGTTGACCAGTACATATACTTATTACACACAAAACACATGTTGACCAGTACATATACTTATTACACCCAAAACACATATTGACCAGTACATATACTTATTACACATAAAACACACGTTGACCAGTACATATACTTATTACACACAAAACACATGTTGACCAGTACATATACTTATTATACACAAAACACATGTTGACCAGTACATCTACCAACAGTAATTTTTACTCTGTTGTCACAAAAAAATTCCATAACTTAAAAGTTATTACAAACATGCTAAACATGTTTTGATAAACCCATTTTGTAGAGTCTCCTTAAAGATTAGTCACACTAAAGAGTCTGTATCATCTTCTGTTATAACAAAAAAAATAATTAAAAATTATGTTCTCATTCTGTTAAAATTTTTGCTTCTAAAACTGGACTTTAACACACAATGTCAGTCATTTAAAAATATAAATGTAAAATATTTAAAGTAGCGTATTTGGAAAAAAAAATCAAGATTTTGGCTAAACCACTTTTCATGGGGCCTAAGAAAAGAAAAGGAATGTAAAAAAGAAGTCTTCTCAAATGGTCATGTGGTTCTCAAACGGTTATGTGCTGGTATATTTACACTTGTGGAATGAGGGATTCCTCATTACGTGTAAAAAGAAGTCTTCTCAAACGGTCATGTGCTGGTATATTTACACTTCTGGAACGAGGGATTCCTCATTACGTGTAAAAAGTAGTCTTCTCAAACGGTCATGTGCTGGTATATTTACACTTGTGGAACGAGGGATTCCTCATTACGTGTAAAAAGAAGTCTTCTCAAACGGTCATGTGCTGGTATATTTACACTTCTGGAACGAGGGATTCCTCATTACGTGTAAAAAGAAGTCTTCTCAAACGGTCATGTGCTGGTATATTTACACTTGTGGAACGAGGGATTCCTCATTACTATACCACCACATGACTGTTTGAGAAGACTTCTTTTTACATTTTACACTTGTGGAACGAGGGATTCCTCATTACGTGTAAAAAGACATGACCGTTTGAGAAGACTTCTTTTTACACGTAATGAGGAATCCCTCGTTCCACAAGTGTAAATATACCAGCACATGACCGTTTGAGAAGACTTCTGTTTACACGTAATGAGGAATCCCTCGTTCCACAAGTGTAAATATACCAGCACATGACCGTTTGAGAAGACTTCTTTTTACACGTAATGAGGAATCCCTCGTTCCACAAGTGTAAATATACCACCACATGACTGTTTGAGAAGACTTCTTTTTACACGTAATGAGGAATCCCTCATTCCACAAGTGTAAATATACCAGTACATGACCGTTTGAGAAGTCTTCTGTTTACACGTAATGAGGAATCCCTCGTTCCACAAGTGTAAATATACCAGCACATGACCGTTTGAGAAGACTTGCTGGTATATTTACACTTGTGGAACGAGGGATTCCTCATTACGTGTAAAAAGAAGTCTTCTCAAACGGTCATGTGGTGGTATATTTACACTTGTGAAACGAGGGATTCCTCATTACGTGTAAAAAGAAGTCTTTTAAAACGGTCATGTGGTGGTATATTTACACTTGTGGAACGAGGGATTCCTCATTACGTGTACCAAAAATAAACAAAAAGGAAGAAAAGATTAAGATGTATATGGCAGAACAAGAAAATAAAAAGCAAACAACACACACATATTTATAGAAAAGACAAAATAATATATATAATATATTTAAAAACACAGAAGTCACATGACTTCCCCAAAAGGTAGGTGATGATATTATCATTTAGTTTAAAAACTGTGACAAAAAATAATGAGTAAATGTTTCAAAGAAAATTCGATTTAAATTCTAAGGAAAGAATACATAAAAAAACTGTAGTATGAGTAAAATCTTACTGGCCTTAAATAAATTAAAAAAAAAGTTCTAATTAAATTTTTTGTTCTAAATATTCACACAATACTACACAAGACCTATGTATCTGCATTAAATTTTAAACTGATAGGCTAGAGAGAAGGTAGCCAGTCAACAGCATCCACCAATTCTTGTAATTGAAGAGTGTAATCTGACTGTCACCCTAATAATGCACCCACAGCTCAAAAGTAGGGAGTACAATTTGACTTTTTTGTGGCAACAGAAGTGGACCATGGACCCCTGGGGTCCATAATCTGGTATGTTAATCACTACACCTGACTGGAAGGAACCACCACTGTACAGTTAGGCATTTCTAAAGGAATTAATAATGCAGCCAAGTAGATATGGAAAAACCATTACAAGTAGTGCACAGTATGGATATTCTTAACAAATATTTTATATTTGTAAATAATTAACAAGTTTTCAATTTTCATAAAATCGATCAAACGATGGAAAAAGGTTGCTTTATATCATTTATCACTTAAATAGTTATGAAAAAGAAAACTCACCAGTTGAGCTGGAAAGCCATGCCTAACACAGTACATCAAAGAATAGAATCGGAGAATGGCAAACGTGTGGTCCACACGATATCAAGGAAATTGAGTTGCACAGCACTAATTCATCATAAATCAACGTAAAAAGTTACTGGGACCTTTTAGTAATATTCCAAACTACACATACATGATTTAATACATGAAACCGAGTATGAAACACTATTCATGCTGATTATTAATTACATACATGTGTAATAAAAACTGAAAACAATGATGCTTTATTATCCTTATTCTTAATAATACAAGTTGTTCCTTAAAATACTAAATATAGTGATTTTTTTACATTTCATTCTGTTCATTGTCATTTTTTTTTCTATTGAAATAAAAACAAAAACAAATTGTTAAAACTTTACAATAACTATTCATCACTTTAGTCCAGTGATGCTTAATCTTTGGTCCATGGGTTCCCTTCAGGTGGTCCATGGAAGGGTTGCATAATCACAGAAACACAAGTGGCAGTATACCATGGAGGTCCACGGAAAATCGCTAAATCACAGAAAAGTGGCAGCATAGTGCATAGAACCCACTGTGGTCCACAGAGAATTTATAAAAATTTTAGGTGGTTTGTTAATAATAAACCACTGGTCTAGTCTACTTGTAGGAAAACTCCAACACATAAAATGCATAAAAACACAAAAAATTCAGATTTCTTGAACAGTATCAAGGCATATATATAACTAGAAATAACTCTGAACAGATTTGTTCAAAAAAGTATATAATAAATTAAACTGAATGTACCATTGATCCAAAACCAAAGTGTCAAATAAACTCTACAACAAACATAAATAACATGTTGCAGAAACCTAAATTCCTTCATAAAAACAAAAGATTGATTCCACATATGCCTTGATAGTTACTGCAAGTTGAGAAACTGATCTGATACAAACATCAATTTCTATATATTTCAGTTTGAGTAAACCTAGGTTTAATATCAAATTAACAACTCAGGAGGGATGACAAAAGTTATACCATGACAGTTTCAAGAATATTGATTTTTTTTATAATTATACATTCTGTATTTATAACAACTCTGACTTACGCCTGGTGAATGGTACAAAACTTGGCAACAGTGCACTGCACTGTTCTGTATTTTCTTTGTAAAATATTTTGGCAAGTACCCTAACATCCATGGATGTGAACTATCCTGACCTCCAATGTCACCTCATATGAACCCTTGATTATTTTCTCTATGATTATTTAAATCACGGAATTTCCCAGGACACAGTTTACAATGTTGTGTACAATGATATGTCCCTATATTACAATAAAGAAGACAAACTGAAACATGTCGTTTATAGTTCACTGATTCTCCCCGTGAGCTACCAAGTTTTCAGCTGTTCATATATCATATAACAGTTATTATAAATCCAAAATATAAGATGTATAAAAGAAAATAATTATTTAATATCAGCTATCATCAAACCAGCTGAGGTGATGATAGAAAATGTCATGCAATGATTTTAAGTTGGGAATTTCTTGAGTATTCTTTATCCATTGTGAACATATGTTGTATTCTGGAAAGGCCCTGTTAATGAACTACATCTGCCCTGGAAGTTTTGGATGACATTTCAAGCTACAAGTGCAGATCTTCATCAGGCTGTATTACAACACACAATAAAAAAAAATAGTGAAAGACAGCTAAGAACCTGAGTGCCTCTTGTTATGATAAGGATTATTTTTTGTTAACGATTTTCTACTAGGCTTAATTTATTCAGATTTTTCCGGCCACCATACATATGATCAGGATTAAAAAGTTTGTGAAAGTCTTTTAAAGTACTTCAAATAATTTGTAGACTTTTATAATTATTTTGTGATTTTATTTATTTTAAGAAAAAACAAATGTATCTGTCATATGCTGTTGTTGGATATAAATATAGAAATAAATTTATACTACCTTTGTTATTTAGTTGATTCATATTCTGTTTCAATTCCTGATGTGCTGTTTTTACTTCTCCAGCTTCTTCAACATTTTCTGACCATGGATCATTCTCCTTAAAAAAAAAAATAAAGTTTAGACTAATATATCTTCTAGATTCAAATGTATTTTTCATGTCTGATGTGATGCAATTTCACAGTGGGTGTGACATTATTAACTAGTATCACAAACTTCTCCATACGTCAGTCTTGCAGTTTTAATGAACTTACCCGAAGCACAAGTATATGAATAACATATGTACACAGAGTTTACTTACTTCTTTGTGTCTTTTATTTTATTGTATATGTAGATACATATATTGTCTTTCTATAAATAGTTCTTTATGCAACATTTTACTGGAATTTTAATTAACTGTAAGTATATCTTATATTTTCTGTGCATGTTTTAACTGAAAGTTTAATCCATAATTTATGATTTTTCACTGAACAAGAACATCTAATTTCAGTTCTGAGTTTAAGTTTTTTATACCCATTTTTTTTATTCTTCACTGATTTTTACTTAAAATATTTTAATGAATGCTGTGGATTTATGCTGAGGTAATAAGGACGTTCCACAACTTTCTTGACAATATATTCTTCACTTTTCTTGCTATTTATTTTTGTTATTAAGTTCACAATGTAAGTTGTCATTAGTAATCATACCCGTTACCATTGGAAAATTTAAAATTAGACAGATTAAACTCTAAAGCCTCTTGTTTCCAGAAGAGACTGTTCTAAAATCCAGGCAGTAAGATCACCAGCTGTGAGTGTTATGAAAATAGAATAATCACGAGGCTGCTTGCTTTTACATTTTACTTGGCTGTTGGTGTTTTGTGATTGATGCGGGTTGCCTAACAAACAATTTTTTCCAACTGTTTTTTTTTTAATAGCAACACAAAAGTGTAAATGTTAAACAAATGCATTACTTGTTATGTAAACACACACATGAAATTAATGACAATTTTGTACATTTATTGCATTAATACACAATTCCAGCTGAAATAAATAAAGGATAAATTCTCAACCCCCTCAGAAAATAAGTCCCAACTGTTCCCCAGGTTCCCAAACTCACAGTATGGTCTGTCAACTGAAAACAAAGCCAAGTAAAACACAGCCAACTTCTATATATATACACATACCACTGTAACGTACATAACCAAATCAAAACAACTATACAACCGATATTCAGGCAATTATAATTTTGGCTAAGTACACGACATTTTGAAAGTTTTAAATTTAAATTAACCTACTTGAACTACATAGTCACTTATAACACAAGTTATCGGAGAGTATATACATGGCCATTGCATATATAAAGTTTTGAAGAACAGGTACATGACCATTATGCACATATATTTTTTTTTAACAATACCTGCATGACAGTTGCATACAGTCAAATCCATTTTGGAATATTATGTATTATTAGTAGCAACTAGATGAGCCACACACTAACCTTAGTTTTAAATCAAACCTTGAGCTAACATAATCTGATCAAATTTAACCGAGATGATGTAGAAATACCTATTTCCAATAATCATTGTGCAATTAGACAATGATAGAAATATAAGTAATATTTATATGCAAAAAAAAATCACTTCCACACAATGTTTCACCTAACAAGAGAAACACATAACAACAACAAAAAAGGATAAGAAAACCAGTTATTGTTGGTAAGGTTCTAATGCAACCCTCAGAGCTTAAAACTGATGCCTTGAAATAGTATTATTACTATTAGTATTACACCACAAATTCACAAAGCATTGTTATATGGTGTGGCACACAAATACTCAGGAACACATGATCAATCATGTATATATATATATATATCAACCATCAATCTAGCCAGTTGAACAAATGGTGATCATTGTGTGTATAGTCATTACCTAAATAAAGTTATAAACACCACCTGATATTAAAAGAAGGATCAGATTACAACCTGGCCAATCACTGGATACAGACTCAATTCAGCAAATGTGGGCTATCGTTAATCAAATCCCTTAGAAACACTTTTCAGGATTTACTAATACTAATAGATAATCTGTGTCAGGAATTGGCTGAGAATGAGATCCCAGAAACCACGATTACAACCTTGTCCATACAAGGTGTAAAAGAGTTTTTATTGTCCTACATGAGACAAAGGCTGCACCACAAAGTATTAAACCCACTGATATTTTACCTGGATAACATATGGTTCCAAATTAAATTGTATTATTCAACTTATTAATATTGTAAATTGTAATAAGTAAATGATCCTCCAGTGTTTCAACTGTGTTAGCCAACGGACTTACCTACTCAAACTCAAAATTAAGTTAAACTTCTGTTTAATAATAAAAAAAATGATTCGTAATATATAACTCTGAAGGAAAATCTTTAGGACTAATTTGCTTATCAATAACAATATCTCCTAGGAAAAACAAGAAACTATTATTATTATTAAATTACAATATACGTTTTGTTCCCGTGAGTACGAGTATGTATACATCGAATACCAAAAGCCATACTTAGGTCAGGATGCCATCTACAGAATAAAAATTACTTTATTGTTATATAATAAGCAAAAAACGACTTAAACATTAATCGTGTTCCCTCGAAACGTAATATGAATTATGTTTTTTGTACTTGTTAACGATCACCGTACACTTGAAAAATGTCGCTATATAAATTAGAAACAAAGATACCATTGAATGAAGTTTTGTTGTTTTAATAATATTCATATTCTTTCATAGCAAAAGTTTAGTTAGATTTAATTGTTGAATCTTTCAGCCTTATTTTACATGCGTTGTTGACCAGTTTCCCTAGCAGAAAACAACGTGAAACTGAAGAGAACACACGAATGTGTCGAAACTAGTTTTTCTAATATCAATACTTCTGACAGTTTGTTCCGTTTTGTGTGTTTTTTATTGTTCTCTGACTCCTACACACAGTATTATATTATTTTATGACTAGTTGGAGTAACCGTCCCCTGGACGGAAGTTACGTAAATTCATGATTAATGAAAGGTTATCTTAGGACATGAAAAATTGCTTCCCTTATATGCAACTGTAAAAAACACAAAAACGTTCATAAAAATGCAAAACATAAAATATGAAACCGCAAATTTGCATGTATCGCCACATTGACCCAACAAACTATTATGCCAAATTTGGTAAAGACCCATCAAGAGAGGGCGAAGTAGTTTGTTTGTTTGCAGTTAAGCACAAAGCTACACAATGAGTTATCTCTGCTATGCCCACTACGGGTATCGAAACCCGGTTTCTAGCATTGTAAGTCAGCCGAAATATCGCTGTCACACTGGGGAGGAGCAGGCGAAGTAGTGGTAAAAAAAACCACAAAAACGCCCATAAAACCCGCAAAACGCAAAATGCAAAACTGAAATTTTGTATGTACCCCCACATGGACCTAATAAACGTCCATACCAATTTTGGTGAAGATCCATCCACATCATGGGAAGTAGTTGCATGGACATACAACAGACAGTGCTGTTATATTTATATAGATTCATTTTGCATCTTTGTGAATTATTTATTCTAATATTTCTTTCACAACCTATTTGGGAGGGCAGAAGGAAGAAAGAGTTAGTTTTGGGGAAAGGCTTACCTTTGAGAAATGTCCATTCATTCTTGTTAATTATTAGAAAAGCTGGAGTAGTCTCAGACTCTATTTTCACATCTTCGAGGTGTCTGACGCTGCCCAAAAACAATTAACACTTTCATCTCAGAGGCAGTCACAATACAGGAAGAATTTTAAAATGTTAAAGACTAAATCCTTGCACACCAGATTGGTGATGGTGCTGGAAACAGAGCTCTCCAACCGACCCCCCCCCACCCAACACACACATACGTCACCCTGTTGAACACGCCCTGCTCATTGGAAAATCCTGTGAAAATATCACCATACCTGCCTCCACCCCTCCCAGAAGAATAAACGGTGAAATTGTATGTTCATGATTTCTACTTATTTTCCTCCGTTTTACATTATATCTGGTGTAATTTTTAAATGAGACGTAATTACCTATGTTAATTAATCAGACACCTCAAAATTCGAGTGTAAGGTAAAGTATTTGTTTCCAATCCAGGTAAGGATAGGTTATCTTTCACCTGTTTCTATCATTAAAACTGTGTGTGTATTAAATCATATAATGTATCTAAAATTATCCCGATTTCAACGTTAAATAATTAAATAAATATTTCAGTTCTTCAATGTATATTGTGTTTGTTGTTAAGCTCAAAGCTACATGATTAATGACTATTTGTGCTCCGCCCTTGCGATTATCGAAACTCCATTTTTAGTGTTATAAGCCTTCAGACTTGTCGCTGAGCCACTGTTGGGAAGGGTGCGCAATGTATACCATGACAAATATGGGAAAGTACAATTAAATTAAAATCCAAGTATTCAAATAAACTAAATAATATTTATCTGCCGTTGTTTATTAATTATCCTTTTCACTGGACATTTTGTGATCCATTCTTAATAAACTTCAGTTATGCAGCTTCTTAATATTTTATACCAGCCATCAGGCTTGCAACTGGAGTTCTTTTTTTTTTTTAATGACAGATGACTTGTACTATTACCAGATTTTACTCCACCATAATTAGTGAATCATATATATAAGGCATATTCAGATACTTTTTCTAATTTCCAAACCATGTCTTCTGCATGAAGTTACAAGATCCTTGTAAGCCAGATGTGGGAAGGTCGTATAAATATCCTCCGGTGATACATCGACAAGTCTACGGATTTACAACGCTAAAATCCGAGTTCGATTCCCTGCAATGAACACAACAGATAACCCAATGTGGCTTTGCTCTAAAAAACAAACAATTCATATACTTTTGTGTTAGTTATCACATAAAGATTAAATATTATAGTGCCTGTTTCATAAACTTATATTTGATAGGTTCTGTTTTTGAAGTGAGTCCATATTCATTTCAAATACTTAAATATAAGAAAATGTTACATCTCTGTTCGTTTGTTAATTCCCCGTATAATTTCTTTCGGATGAAACTTTAGCGATACAAGTCCTTTCTTAAATGAAACTAGTTTATTTTTTCTCAATACAACTTTGCAATACACTTAATTTCCACAGTCACTTTAACTTAAACACACGCTATAATTCACAACGATTTACACACTTTACTTACGGCTTGACTCGGTTATCTGTCTCTATCTCCCTGTCTGCTATTCAATTATCTATACCGTCACTTCTCGCCGGTCTTATATATACAAAATAGAGGGCGTTTAGCAAACACTCGAGATACTTATTACGTGTTACCAGAGTCACGTGACTTCCGCTGTCGTAATAATATTATGAGTTGAGGTTTATCTCTCTTGAATACGATCATTTGAAATTATCAAAGAAATCTAAGGATTGTAAGATGCCACACTATGAGTTAAAACTGGGTTATGTACAAGATTCCGAACATCTTTATTCCTGTGTCTTTCTTGTACAAAGTTAATCCTTTCTTTATTGTCCCGATACTAGTTTTACAACGAGCAGAAAAGCCTGCCAGTTAGTTAAAACGTACACCACATTTATTGCGTGAATAAAGGTTATTTTGATTTGTACGTTTGTATTACTTGTTTTTCTTTTTAACCAAAAGGGATCTTGGTGTAATAGTCAATCAGTCTCTAAAGTCATCCAAGCAGTGTGCTGTTGCTAGTGGTAGGGCAAGTAGGATTTTGGGTTGTATCTACAGAAATGTTAAATACAAATCTAAATATGTTATAATTTCATTGTACAGGTCACTGGTTAGACTACATTTGGAATATTGTGTTCAGTCTTGGGCTCCTTACCTTAGGAAAGACATGGTTCAGAGAAGGGTCACTAGAGTAGGGCCTGGGATGAAGGGGTTGTCATACGAGGAGAGGCTGAAATCTCTCAAATTGTTTTCTCTTGGAAAAAAAAAAGGTTAGAGGAGGGATCTGGTTGAGGTATTTAAGATTGTAAAGGGAATTGATAGTGTTGATGCATCATCTTTTTTCATATTTAACAATGATAATAGTAGGACTATGGGACACAAATATAATGTTACGTCTCTGGTCGTTTGTTAATTTCCCGTAAAAATTCTTTCCGAAAAACTTCAGCGATACAAGTCTTTTCTTAAATAAATCTAGTTTATTCTTTCTCAATACAACTTTGCAATACACTTAGTTTCCACAGTCACTTTAACTTAAACACATGCTATAATTCACAACGATTCACGCATTTTACTTACGGTCACTACCGCTCACTTGACTCGATTATCTGTCTCTATATCTCCCCGTCTGCAATCATTTATATCGTCACTTCTCTTCTCCGCGTTATTTGCCGGGCTTATATATACAAAAATGAGGTCGTCTGGCAAACACTCGAGCCTTCATGATTCTTCTAGAAACTAATCACTTGACTTCTGCTGTCGTAACAATAAATTTTGGCAAGGTAGGAGTCATATTCAGCTAAGACAGTTTCATTTTTCTAACAGAGTGGTCGGCCTTTGGAATGGGTTGCCTTCGGATGTTGTAGAGGCAGCAAGTTTAAGTGAGCTTATGAAAAAGCTTGATAAGTATATGAACGATAAAGGCTGACTTTAAGATTTTTAAAAAATATTCTAATTTAGTTTAGAGGATGGAACAGCTGAAATGGACCAATAGGTCCTATGTTGTCCCAAAACTTTATGTTATTGTTACGTTTCCGTTTTTTAATTAACTTATTTTCCGTAACTTCGTACCGACGAAACTTACGCGACACAAGCCTTTACTTAATAAAACTGGTTTATTCTTTCCGAATATAAC